CAGGATAGCATAAAAGGTGGAATATATGAGGCATTACTGCACCCTTACCTTAGTTCCTGGGAATTTGTTAGGAACCAGGAGTCTTTGACAGACAAACTTGACTGGGCCAAGCCTTTTGTTTGTCAAAGAACCACGTAAACCGTTGCTGTCAAGTCTTGTGAATCAAGCCAGGGTTGTCAGGATAGCGTTCCCATGCCTTGCTGCTGGCGATCTTGATTTTGTTTTGTAAGAAGTGGTGCAGTGAGACACTTTTGTAAAAGAATGCTTCCGTTTGGGAAACACGTGCATGCAACAGAGGGATTTGTCGTGATTTGACTTAACTGTAGAGAGCCAGACCTTTAAAAACACCTTTTTTAGGAAGTGACAAGGAGGACCACTGCATGGTGATTATGGTTTTTTTTTTAAGTCATTATTCATTTGTTTTTAAGTCAGCACTATCCAGTAGAACCTTCTCCAATGATAGAAGTGTTCGCTAATCCGCACCATCCAATATGACAGTCACCAGCCACACGTGGCTATTGAGCACTTGAAGTGTGGCTCAATGTGTTCGACTGAGAAGGGGAATTTTTAAAATTTATTTGATTTTAATTGATTTAAATTTAGATAGCTACTGTGGCTTGTGGCTACCACACTGGACAGTGCAGGTTTAAAATGTCCCCCTCCTAAAATGTCACAAGACACACATGAATGGGTCTGCGTTCTGTGGCATTTCATAAAATTTAACATGTAAGGCCTAAATATCTAATAACTCTCCACTGAGAAGTGTGTGTTTGTGCGTGTGTGTGTACAGAGATGCAGAGATTATTTAAAAACACAGTTTAGTCTTAAGAAAGAGCTGAGATGTTTTGAATTAAGTGAAAATATACCCAGATAAGTATACCTTAGGACTTCTTTAAGTCTGTTCTGTGTGAAACAGAAATGAGCCCTTAAGTCACACGTGGCTTAGAGTAGCACCCACATTTGACTGGAGGTGCAGGAGCCCCTGCTGTTCTGCGTGTGGGTGATGGTCCACATTTTCTTTCTAGCAGTTGTTTTTCTGCTGACATGTGAATGCCATAAAACCAGCAAGTTTAGCAGCAGCCTCTTTTGATAATTCTGTTCTTGAGTGTCATGGTTTACTCGATTGTTTCACCTCCAGCCCCTGACATGTACGAAAGACAGTTAGTGAACCCAGTCATTTGCCTTGGAGATGAGTAAACCCAAACGGAGCCACACTTCGTTACACTTAGCCTGTGCCACTTTTATGTGTGGGCAGATTTGGGGCAGATGCCCATTAGACAGGAAATGAGAGTCATTAAGTTAGAAACACACCCACCCAAGTTCACTTGCTAATGTGGGTAGGGAATTACTGTTGGTACAGGAAACAAGTTTGAAAGTCATACATTTGGCAGTTTTCATGACGTCTTTATATTTCCGTGACTTTTTGAGACATAATATATTATGAATACGTAGCTTCCGTGAATAGTGACAGCTTATATTTTTATATAGTTTTCAAGAGCACATTTATACATTCTCTTTTGGCTCTCATAACATTTTGGTGAGGTTTTAGATATTCTACTATTTCTGGACTCTCAGGAGTCAAGCGACCAGTGCATGTGTGTATGGCCAATAAACGGTACAATCAGGAGTGTGACAGGGAGGATGTGGGCCCATCCGACTCTCCCCCAGGCTGAGAGATGGAGCAGGGAGCAGGTGTAAAGTCTGATGACTGAGGAAATGGAGTCTGGGCCTTTCACTTGTCGATCAGGCGACATGCCCCAAGAGGTCATGCTGGCCCAGGGCAGCGCGGCCGAAACTTGAGCGCATGGCCTGGGTCAGCATGGTGGGGACCCTGGCCCCACTCAAACGAGCTGAGTGCCCAGTGAATCACTTGAACACCCTGGACCTTCATTTCTTTTCTTTTTTTAAGCTTCTTTATCTTTATTGTTGAAAATATTACAGATGTCCCCTTTTTACCCCCATTGATCCCCTCCACCCCGCATCCATCCCACCCCTAGGCCTTCCTGACCTTCGTTTCTTAGATAGGGGGTTGAGTACAACTTCCGAATCCCCTTTCTTTGCTAATTCTATGACAGGTAATGTTGCTTAGACCCAGGAAGGACTCTGCATTTGTGTAGCAGTGGGAGTGCATGAATATGGACATATCAACTTTTGGGGCCAGTTTTTAAAAAACATTCTTCAGTTATTCCTGTGTTTTCTTTATTGAAAGCCCTTTTGTAACAGCAGAATTGAATTTCCTGAACTAAAATCTAACAAGAGGTATCTTCTACTTGATTGCTTTTAAGGATATGTTAATTTATATGCTAAATCAACATATCCTTAAACATATCTAGCATAACTTGCCTTTTCTGACAAGTCTTAATTTTCTTCTATCTCCTCTCTGTACTCTAGGCCACTCCCATGCCTGCTCTTTCTAATTTTGTCCAAAAGTCAGAGAGGAGAGTGAGGTTGGCTTTTATGGTTTTATGTATTTATTGATACGTTCTCAATATGTTTAGAGTAAATCTTTATTTTCTAACCTGTGAGCATAGGTTTCTCTAATTGTTCCCTCTCATCCCTTAAAAAAAAAAAAAAAGAGACTAGATTTTTACCTATTATGGAATTCAGGCTTCTATTGCTAGAAGTCAGCAAAAACTTGGCCAAGGGTAGGCATGAAACCCTTAATTCCTAGCAATGTCATCTACATAGATCAGTAGAACTCTTGTGGAGTTGATCAGCCTGCTTACTTATTTGGAATCGAGCAAGAGGAACCCCAAACTGAGCACACAGCTCAGAGCAAAAGTACAATTGCAGGGCTATCTCATGGAGAAGCTGTATTTCTCAAGAGCCCCAACATGGCAACATCTATGTCAATAATTGGTCCTGTTTTGAATATTCCATGTGACTCAAGGTAGTTGGAGCATCCCATAAAGTTTCTATTTTGAAGATAGCATGGTTGTGCAAGTATTTCTCAAATTCTTGGACCTATGAGAATATTTGTTGGGTTGGGAAACTTTCATGCTGCTGACCCATAAATCGTAGTGAAAATAGCATGTGAAGCAGATGTGATTTCAAGGCGAGTTTACCAAGTACATTAATGTTTTTTATGTGCACTACTGGGTGTTTCCTGGGTCTTGAGCCAACATGCGTGTCTTAGTTCTAATGACCACCACGTTCGGTATCCCCATGGAGTTTGCTGACTGTGGAGACCAGCTCCTTCACATTGAAGCTAACTAGGGAGCTGTTGTGGTCCTCAAACACAGAGGCAAAACCCAACCCACCACTGAACAAAAAGGACAGTGTTTGACTAACGTAATCAAGGGAGTGCAGCTATTCTCATGGTTCTATAGTCCCTTCGTGTTGCTAAAGAAAACAGTAGTCATTGGAAGGGTGAAAAAATGAAAAAACTGAGTGTCCAGGTACTGTTTTATGCTATGCTATTTATTGTACTTGAGAACAAATTGAGATCAGCAGGAATAGGACTGAGTGATGCTTAATCTCAAATGGACTGCGATTTAGGCTCTAGTATGACAAGAGTAGATTCACAGAAAATAAATGGGTCTATCAGCTCAGGCTTTCATTTTAACTTAATTTATTAACATAATACCTCTAGTAGAGGACAGATAGTAGGTAAGAGGGTCAGGAGCAATCTGCTTTTAAGGCTTTTGTTGATGTTTAGAAACGATTAGTGGTCTTCAAAAGATTATAAATTTAATCGAAATTGAAATGCTTTTATACATTTTCTGAATAAGTTACTTCCAATTTGAGATGAAATCAAGTTCCTCTGACAAAAGGAGATCGTAGTGTGTGAGTAGAAAGTAATAATAGAATATTTCTTAGTATTGTCTCTTGAGTGGGGGTTAATTATGTAAAGTGTTTGGGGTTGTAAATAGGATAATTGTCTGGTGGGTTTTTTTTAAATACCTTGCTAAATAGTTCCTCTTTTGATCTAGTGATAGATACAGCGATGCCAGTGATGACAGCTTTTCAGAGGCAAGGATAGCCGAGTTGGAAATAAGCTGAAGCTAATACGTGACTCAGAATGCCAGGCACTGCCTGAGAGGGTAAGAAGGAATCTGTAAGTTCTTGCTTGGTTTACAGACAAGCTGTTGTCTTGGTGTAGAAGGGAGCAAGCACTCTAGGACTTGTCTGCAGGATCCCCTTTGCCTGGCAGAGGTAGCCGGACAGACTTCACAGCCGACTGTACCTTTGGGAAACTGGAATGCACCTGAGAAAGCTAGCAGTTAGCATGGAGAGAATGGAATGCATTTGAGGCCAGGAGTAAATCTATAAGCGGACCTATAAATATATACCTGGAGGCTGAAGTGGTTAGAGTTCTAATAGTTTAGGTCAGGGATCAGCAAACTTCCTCTGTAAAGGGCCAGGCAGTAAATATGTTAGGCTTTGCAGGCAATGAGGCCCCTGTCACAGCTAATCCACTTTGCCACTGTGGAGGAAAAGCAACCGCGGACACTGCTTAACTGAATGGGCATGGCTGCATCCTAGTAATACTCTGTTTATAAAAACAGTTTGCTGGCCCCTGGTCTGGGTCACTCATGGAAAGCAGGTTTCCTTGGATGTATGTAAAATAAAATAGTATTTTACCTTTTTGCAGCGAGATGGCAGAGACTGGCTTGGCTTCTGAGGGCAACTTATTTTCCCCACTGCTCTGTTAGGCTTTATTAGAGAGGCCAGCAGCCTGGCTAGCTTGGTCACATTCCAGCTCAGAGGCCCATATGCCTGGGATGACCTGCTCCCTTTAGCAGGGACAGCATCTTGGGAAAATTTGCAAAGGGTTCATCGCTCCAGTGTGAGCTCTCTTCATATTTCACTTAGGGGCTGAATACTGATGTTCACCATGGAAAGCCTATCTATATTTATTTAGGTTTGCCTCAAACACGGAGACCTTTAGGAGCAAACCAAAATGATGCCAAGATTAGCTGGGAGTATTTTAAAGACTTATATTATTCAGGTTCTGATGTTGCTAATACTTATGTTCCTTTGTTGTTTGTTTGTTTTAGGTTCTGAAGTAATTGAAGCCAAGATAAAGCAACTATCGGAAGAAACTGCCACACTTTTAAAGAATCACTCTGTTCTCCACGAAACCTGGGATGAAAGCCTCTAAGGGAACCTAATAATATGTACTTTCATGAACCAAAACCAAAGGGGCACTTTCCTTTTTTCCTCCAGAGGTGGCCTTTGGGTCTCGCAGATTTCTGTAGCCGATTAAACGTTTCCCCGACAACCTCATGGGGAGAAAGTGTGTTCTCGTTTTGTCTAGTGAATCATGACGTCAGGTGCTGAGCAAAGATCCAGGAACTGAGCCTTCACTGTGCTATATGGGAAGGGTGGCAGGGCACATGCAATAACTAATTTTGAGTAAAAAATGAGTCATTCTGTACCTGGAACTCAACCACAGATTTGGGTGTGGCCCAAGTTTATTTTAATTTCTCACCCTGTTTATTTCTAGTTAAAAAGAAATTTAAACAGGTCCAAGAGTGGGGGTGGCAAATAAGACCCATGCTCAGGCACAGAATTTAAGGGGGTGTAAAAAAAAGTCAGGAATCATACATATATGTATGTTTTTTAATTGAGATGAAATTCACATAACATAGAATTAACCATTTTAAAGCAAACAATTTAGTGGCATTAGGTACATTCACAACGTTATGCAGCCACCACCTTTATCTACTTCTGAAACATTTCCAACACCAAAATAAATTCCCATACCCATTAGCAGTCACTCCCCATTCCTACCTCCTCCTAGCCCCTAGCAACTGCTAATCTCCTTTCTATTTCTATAATTTGCTAATTCTGGATATTCCATATAAGTGGAATAATACAATATGTGGCTTTTTGTATCTCGCTGCTTTTATTTAGCATCATGTTTTCAAAGCTCATCCTGTGTATCAGTGCTTCATTCCTTTTTATGGCTGAATAAAATTCCATTGTATGTATCTACCACAATTTGTTTATCTCCTCATATGTTGATGGACATTTGAGTTGTTTCCACCTTTCAGCTGTGATGAATAGTACTATTATGAACATTCATGTGCAATTATCTGTTTGAGTACCTGTTTTTAATCCTTTTGTGTATATACCTGGGAGTGGAATTGCTGGGCTATATGGTAATTCTGTTTAACTTCTGGAGGAAGCATCAGTAATATTTTAATGCAATATATATATTTTAAGTTTCTTTATTTTTATTGTTGAGAATATTACAGATGTCCCCTTTTATCCCCATTGATCCCCTCCACCCCACATCCATCCCACCCCCGGGATTTCCCCATACAATGTCTGTGTCCATGGGTTATGCTTATAAACATATAAGTTCTTTGGTTAATCTCTCCCCACCCACACCCCCTCCCCACCTTCCCTCTGAGATCCCTCAGTCTGTTCCATGCTTCTATATCTCTGGATCCACTTT